GTACGTGGAGGCATAGGTTTTGGTTGGGGATGCTAAAATTCAGAATTGGGTTTTTCTTCTTATTGGCGTAGGCTGTCTGGTTTTCCAGCTTTAGACATTAATGCAGTGCCGATGGAAGATCTGCTGGTTCGTGAATTCCTAACTACTGATTGCTGGGCGCTTTGTACTAAACTGGTCATTTGATATTTTAGAGTGTTGATATCTCATTTGTCGGCAAAATGAAGCTTGAGATACTTTGATATACATGTCCCAGTTCAAAGGTACATGGTAAGAGTCTAATACTTCATCTTTACTCGGATTGTATGAGGGATAGTGTAATATTTATTTTAACACTGATAATGTGGGCTAATGTTTTGGGGATAATAAAATCTGTTGGTTTGTGATTAAGGTTTTGGAGAAGTACTGCTAGTGGTTGACCTAATACTTCTCCTATTAAAATTTTAATCTGTTGTCATTAGTTTAGCAAACGTAAAAACTTCAATATAATTTTCTTTTTAGTTCACTTCAATTTGAAACTCCGAAATATTTGAAAATTCTAAACATATGTATTCTCTTTGATTATAGTAAGGTTATTATCGTACAATAATACGAAGCAATTATCACTTAAAGCTTCACAGTCCACGCTATATATACATATATTTGTTTCTGTGTGATTATTTCTTATTTCTATTTCTTATTTCTATTATATTTCACTTTTTTTATAATTTGCTGACAAATTGCATATAATTCATTCACGATATTTTTTTTTATTAATATTCCTCAGTGAGTTTTTGAATAGTTATAATAATATAATATGTGGGCACTCTTCCTGATAGGGTCCTTACCTCCTGGAAGTTCTATTCGAGCAGATCTGATAAAGTTTGTGGTCCAACGATTGCTGCTAATCTCCAACGATTGGTATTATTGCAATCAAGAGTTCCTTGGATTTATTTTACTTACTTAATTCTTGAACTGTCGTTTAGTTTTCATTGGTACTGAAAAAAAGAAGAACTCTTGAACAGTAGTTTTACTATTCACTTTGTTCGGGCGCCAGTTATTTCCCAGTTATAAACAAAAACACAAGTGACCATTGTCGCAACTAAAGTTCCATTTATTATAGAATTAGAAAAGCTAATTCTACGTTTACGGAATGCTCATCATTGAAGAATGGTGACAGATTCTTGAAGCCAGTTCCAAATCACTATTGTTTTAATTGACATCCGAAATGAAATTTCTGCGCTTTAATTATAACACTTTCAAAACTGGCGTGTTCTTATCTATCCGGCAACATGAGTTTGCTAACTTAGCAACTGTCTCTTGACTCAATGAACTATGTAAATCTCGTCGTATATGCCAATGCTGCTGCCAGTGCTCAACGGTCAATCAATCAACAGAATTAACGCCGCGGTTTTTGAGGCCAAAAATATCAATATCATCGGCGTACATCAGCCGATTGTAGAAGATTGTATCTTCTCTGTTTAGTTCTGCAGTTCTATTTTCTCCAGAAATGAATTGAAGAAGTTACACAGGAAGAAACCTAGCCTAATGATTGTATCTTCTCTATTTAGTTCTGCAGTGCTATTTTCTCCAGAAAGAAATTGAAGAAGTTACACGATAGGAAGAAACCCAGTCTTAACTTTTGTTTGTTAATTTGTTTATTTTTTTTTTTTAAGTTTTCAAATACGACAGTGTACGTATTGCTTTCGCGGATATACCAAATTCCGACATGGCGGTTTAGAGGCAACTCTTGTCTCTGCTGTCGAAGGTAGGTTTAAAATCGACAAAAGGGTAATATGTCTTTTCATTGGATTTATCCACGATATGGCGTACGATGAATATTTGGTCAATTATATGATAACAATGGTTAAAGTCATATTAATAATGATTGAAACTTATATGCAATATTATAAAGGGCTAATTTCAGGGCCTTTTTCACAGAATTTTAGGTCCGCTTTTATGCACCTTGTCCTTCGCTGCCATATTTGACCACATCGGCCGGCAATCAATCCATTCCTACCAGTTTGTTAATCTTCAGGCGGGTAATTTCTATTCGAACTTCATCATAGTTGGGCAATGGAACATCAATTCTATCGTCATCGATTGGGGAATCAAGTTCGTCATATCCAGATTTTGCACTTTTACGATCAGTATGCTGAAGAAGTGTTATCTCGATAACTTCAGTATGCTCGAAATATCAGTCACTAGATCACTTCTGGGGGTTCTAAAAGAGTATGCTCCGACCTTGAAACCTTATGTTACTCGTCTTATCTTTGAGGTGAAATTTTCGAGCATTACCCCTGTCGACCAGCTTCTCACGCATTCCTTTTTTGTCGGCATATACGTTAACCAGCCATTGAAGTATACCTATTTAWACCAAAATAGTAAAAATGACTTAAAAAAAGAAGTGTTTAATAGGGTTTCCAGCCTTTATTTACTTTTAAATACTTACAGTATACATATAATAATAACTTTATAAAATTAATTCTTTAGCTATAACTAGAAAAATCATGATATCATTACGAAAAAAAAAAAATTACACATAGTAAGAATTTTAAGTTGAAATACCGAAAACAGGCATTTTGAGTGGTTTGGTATATCTAGTATTAGGAGAAGGAGAGCCAGCCATCGGGGATCGGAGGAAGACCCTCCACCCAAAATCCGCCGTCGGCAGGAACGGTACAATAGAGTTACTCGGAGGCCTTAAAAGGAGTGGATAGTGAATGCGATTTTCATGGGCGACGGTTACACCGACTCTTTTAATGGAATCTACTTCAAAGGACCTGGCTAGTGAAGACCACTCCGAAACTGGAGGGTTGGTAAGGTCTAGTCCTGTGCGCTTAGACATTCCGCCACTGCATAGCTTGACAGTATTCCTTCCACTGAGCGCAGACAAACTGTACGATTTCGCGATTGGTTCAGTCAAAAATCAGAACGAGGTCTTAAGTTTTTCGGCGTGGAAGGTGGTCGCGAGCAGCGTGGAGAAAACAGGATAGATTCTCAACATTACGGTTGACGAAGAGTCCTATAAATTCATCCGGCAGCAGATGTTTTAGCTGAACTTCCAGTTCAGTATGGTAAGCTTGAAACCAGCAATGCAACCAAGGCTGAGTTCCAAGTTGCATGTTGCTTTGCATTAGTACGAAGTATACGATTCCTTAAAATCAAACTGTTTACGATATGCAAAGCATCGAGTACCGATAAATTTTTATGCGTATTAGATGCGCATACAATGAGCATAGGGCGCATCTCTATTTTTTGTGATGCTCAAAGTTTTTTTCCATTGAACAATCCAAGCAATGCCGCTTTTTACTTTTTTCTCTTGTTTTTCAAATGATTTTTAATGATTATCGGGAGTTGCTGCGGCCACAGCTGTTGGTTGTTTTGAAAACAATTGCAGAGAACGTATAATATAGAGAAGGTTCAGGGTTTGCCGATTGTCAAAGCGTTCCTCTTTTTTGAAGGGTTGAGTTTTCTATTAGTGGATTTCACCACAAAAATATTATTAGCGGATTTCACCAATATTTAACATGAGGAGGTCGAAAATAGCAGAATTGAGCATTTTCATTGTTAAATGAGAAAAGTGATGCTAATTTCAATGTACGCTTACAGATTCGTATATTTACAATGCCCAAACATATGTATGTACACAAGTGCAATTTGATCCATTTAATGATTAATTCCATTAAATCAGTTGAAATGTATAATTAAGTCATATTTCAATTATGACTTAAATACATATTTATTTAATATAATTATAATTAATATATGTTTTTAAGTTATATATGTTTATATACATATATATTTATTTACTTTGGGCATTTGAATTTTTAATAAAATCTTAAGTCATATGCATATAATTATGTGTACTTGTAAACAGATTTTAAAAAACCATACGCATAATGCTCACATATTCACATATGTATGCAATTTTGTGTTCATGTAAACAAATTTGAAAGAATCATTCAAATTATGTGTGTAAATTTGTCTCGACATAACTGTATGTAAATATATACACACATTGTTTCATACAAAAACTCCGTTGTCACGGACAACCAAACTTTGTCAAAAASTCAATGGTAGAAAATCGGAGCTGTACCGATACCGCTTCCCTTGCCGCTTTACAGCTTTGCCTACAAACCGGCGTAAATATGTACATATGTTTAGGCGTAAACTTGCATACATATCGACGCAGCTGCGTAAAAATATGTCAGCATTACAAAATATTTTTCACTCCTTTACAAATACAGTCAATCCTGGTTATGTGCCACAATCAAAGATACAGATATTTATAGTTAGTTAAAAATAAAAATATAATATGGTACATAAACGACTGCGGATACTTAAATAAGTCGTACTTAAAACAGTAATTTCTAGGTATTTCAAAAAACAAACCGTGACATGCAGCAATATATAATATAGGCTAAGAGTGATGAGGGAGGGATTTGATTTTCATTTAAGCATAGTACTACTTAGCCAGACTGCACACATGAATCAGAGGAATATTGAATATTTTCCTTGAAACATTTCTTGAGGATTCGAATAAGCTTTTTGAAAGTACGTTTGCGTTCATGAATGAAACTTTTGTTGTTGTGTAATTTACTATAAATTTTGACTGCCATATTGGTTTCTGATACCTTTTCAAACGATTGTTGTTTTTGTAGAACAATATTTATAATTTTGCTGGTGACATATTCACATGTGAACGCATATAAGTATGTATGTTGCGTATGCATTGCTTAYGTGGGAATGTCATACCCACATATTAACATGTGTACTCATATGCTGGTATTGTCACTGGCGAAGCGAATACATTGGCGAGTCGAATGTTTTAGGCGAAAATACGCCATGTTCATATTGTGACTGGCGAATGAACACATTCGCTCAACTTTTTTGTTGCCATACTAAAATAATTGAGAAATGTCACACGAGTTCATCCGAAATTGACATATTTGACGTATTATTGTTATTGTTTGGAAATTTTATTATTTGCTTATTCGTTGTGTGTTTTGAAATTTTACCGTGATTTTAAAAAAGTGAATAAAAATTTTTAACAACGTAGATTTATATTTTGAAGACAGTTATGTTGAAAGGACAGCAACGAAATTACTTAGGCAGCGACGGTTCATCAGAGATCACTCTAATCCCATGGAACTTTCTTCAGTGTTGTAAATATCTATTGTTATAAAAGTGCATAAACAAATATCACGTCACATAAGTTTTTATTAACAGATTTAAAGAAAACTTTCGGTTAAGTAAGGATGCATTTATGTATGTGCTAGACAGCATAAAGGAAAAATGGCCGACTAATCTATCGTCAATATCGCCAATGTTGAAATTGTGCTGCGTTCTCAGGTTTTTGGCTCATGGGAGCTATCAGCAAACAGTGGGAAACGATTTCCAACTAGGTATTGCGCAGCCCACTGTTTCGTTGATTTTTAAGGAAATGCTTCCAATATTGGAATCCACTCTGTGCAATGTCTGGATCAAAACAGACATAACTGAAGAGCAGAAACGAACAACAAGAAGGAAATTTTTCATCAGATCTGGAATTCCAAATGTGGTTGGTTGCGTTGATGGAACCCATGTTGCAATTATTGCTCCATGTGAGAACAAGCACTTATATATGAATAGAAAAGGATTTTACAGCATAAATGCGATGATTGTAAGTAGCAACTAAATAAATAAATTATTACTTATTATTATTTCGTATTAAAAAATTATTTTTAATCAGGCATGCGATCAGGATATGGTTATACGATGTGTTGATGCGAGATATGGAGGATCTAGCCACGACTCATTTGTGTGGAACAATAGCGCATTAAAAACATATCTGGAGCAAACATACCAAAGAGGAGATCACAATTCGATTTACTTAGGTAACTACAATTTATATGTGTATGTACATACATAAATACTAACATTAAATATACTTTAGGTGATTCTGGTTATCCACTACACGAGTATCTATGGACGCCTTTCCGAAACGCTTTGGCAGGAACAGTGGAATGAAATTTTAATAAGAAACATGCAAAGGAACGTAGTTGAAAGGACGATTGGAGTGCTGAAATGCCGTTTTCGATGTATACTAGGTGAACGTAAACTACGATATCCTCCTAGTAAAGCAACTATTATTGTAAATGTTTGTAATCCTGAAGAAGAAACTTTTGTTGATGTAGTAGTACCACTGGAACCAGTTGAAGGAAACTTCAGTGGAACAGCAGCAGATCATCGCCGAAGACAAATTGCGAATGCATTGTCATAGCTTAGTTGCATCCCTAAAATATATGTAAAATATATGTACATATATGTAACATAACTACAATAAAATAAATGAAATTAATTTTGAATATACGGAAAATACGTTTTTTTTTATTTTGAGTATTTAAGTTTTTTTAATTCTAATTCTTTTAGTTTTATTTMAATTTTTTCCTTATGCCGCCTATTTTTTTCAATATTTTCTTCCTTCTTTCATTTTATAAAGGACTAATTTTTCTTTTTTTAATTCATAAATTTTTCTGGTGTACCTAGAAATTTCATTACACACCGAATGAATGTTTTTCATGATACCAACAAGGCTTTCTTGCGTGTCCGCTTGCTTTTCCAAAGCCTTCATACGCAAATTTTCGCGCTCCTCCACTCTTGTAGGTGCCTGCCTAGTCGAAATGCTAATATTTGCAGCCTGTTCAGGCTGAACCTCGACATCTTACAGATGTTCCTCTTCTACATATGCAGGTGTAGGTGCAGGTGCAGGTGCAGGTGTAGGTGCAGTGCTTCCAAAGGCGGCTCCGCTTGGATTCACTGCCTGCTGCAAACTGAGCAACTCGTCCACGGCCTGCTCCAAAGGCGTTACACTGCGTTGGGTGTATGACCACCCTATTCCACCTGTGGCTGCAATCTCTTTACGGTTATCTGCAATTTTCCGTTTTAGTTTTAGCTTGTAGTCCAACCAAACCTAAGAAATACACAAATTAATACAGATATGTACATATATGCAATCAAAATTGTTTATTCTTACCTTATTCCATTCGCTGCCACTACGTATTGGAGGCCCGATATTGTTCAATTCTGAAGCAATACCCTCCCACAACTCCATTCTATTCTTTTTTGTAGAGCCAAACGGTGCCAATCCTCTGGCTAAGTCCGGATTTCTTTCCATCAATTGCACCATTGTCTCAAATTGCCTTTGAGTTGTTCGTTTTATTCTAAAAATAAATAAATTTTTAATTAATGAAATACAATAAATAAATTTTCAAAATTTTACTAACGTTTTCTCCATTTTCAATTAGTAGTCGAATAGAATAAACGTTCGCCAAATTTTGACAGCTACGGCGAAGCGAATTTTATAAATTCGCAAGTGGCAATACCAAATATTCATTTCCGCTAGTTATTTCCCCACGAAGTGGCGAATTTACTGTGCGCTCGCTACTCGCAATTCGAAATAGCGAAATTCGCCTAAAATTTCATTCGCTTCGCCAGTGACAATACCAGCAATATTGTAAGTATGTATGATGCTTTTTGAGACTATTGTTGTTTTTTCAGAAGAATGTTTGTATTTTTTGATTTACATGCGTACGCATATGTAATTTGTGTGAGAATGTCATACGCACATACATACACATGTGTGTACGTAAATATAGAGAAGCGCGCGCTTTTTATATTACTGAGAAATGATAATAACTTGATTAGTACTGACATATGTACATATCTGCAGGATAGATGCGTATGAAAGTTTTAAATGATAAAAGGTCTGAGTTATATATATATATTTGTTGTAATATATTAAGTTTTTTTTATGATAATATATCACATATGAAATTATATTAAATTATCAAAGATAAGAAATATTTAATATGCCCATTAACTACAAATATTGCTTTTAAAATTGCATAAATTAAAGTAATGTTATCAATTTTGCATGAATTCACAAAAATTCGCAAAATCATATTCATATCAATTGATAGGATAGCATGTAAACGTATAGAAATATAAGCCAAAAGGCCAACAGGCGCCTGTAAAAGAAATTTATATTTCAGAGCATAATTCTCATTGAGTTCTCAGCTCTGTTCACTTCTGTTAAAGTTTCTCCTGCCGAGCCAAAAGTGGTGAAATCCAATTTCCAAAATTCACGGCTTTTGACAGTTCATACGCTTGTTCGTAGTTGAACCTTCTCTATATTATACGTTCTCTGACAATTGTCACAAAATKTCAAAGTTGATACAAAGCAAATTGAAACAAAACAGTARGGTTGCATTGTCGATATTGTATAAATTCGGAATCGGTATCGCAACAATGCAACTTGGAACTCAGCTGTTCAGGTTGCGTGTACCGCTGTGGCTGAAGGAGAGCAGCGCTAGTCCCTCAGTTGTGCAGAGTGCGTCTGCTGTTGTGGTTGAAGGAGAGCAGCACTCGTCCCCCAACGACACCCACTCAGCTGTGCAGGTTGTGACTGCCGCTGTGGTTGAAAGAAATCGACAAGAGTTCCCCAATGAGCAGGAAGGGAAACTCCTGGACGGGCTGAAGATGCAAATTGGTGAGGACGGTGAAGACGAAGACCTGTCTCTCATCGTTCTTTTTAGTTGTTAGAACCGGTTTAGACTTTTTCTGTTGTAGGTGTCGGTGAATGATATAAACACACATTTGTGGATTATAGGTTATCCATACAGCTATGCATTTGCAATTTTCATAACGCGAGAATTTTGAGAAATGTGTTTCGTACAAATTATTTATGGCTTCTGATGGTAAATTCAACTCCTAGAGATGAGATATCAAAAATGAAAAAAAGCTATCATCAGACTCTAAGACGCTGGCTACACGTTCAATATTTTTATATTAACCGCGATCCCGGCAATATTTATTGAACGTTTATTATGACTTAATTATTAGTCACGGAAAAATTGATAACTTATTGTCGGTGAAGGAATCGTATCGTTTAGGTGTGTTTACGGTTCTTCCGATTCTCGTTGACTTCGGTTGTTCACTTTGGGTTTGAGTGTAGTTGGTTTTATTTTTTCTTGACGTTAATACTCGTGTCTGTTGATATGATTGCTTTTGCTACTGGTGATGGTGGCTCGTCGATTGGTAAAAACGATGTTTTGACTCTATCTATGCTAACGCCAAATTTGCGACCTTTCACAAGAATTTMAAATTTCTTGTTGTTTGTCTGAACACTTCGTTTGAACCGTCGTATGGTGTTTTAAGAGGTGGTCGAACATCATGATCTTTCACGAAAACGTGTGCGCAAATTTGCAAATCCTTTTGAACGAATACCCTGTTGTTAGCGTGATTCGACCCTGGAACGGGTTGAATTTTCCACATCAATTCGTGAAGGGCAAAGATGATCAATGGCAGTGTTTTGGTCCAGCGTTCGTTGTTTTGACATTTGTAAGCTTATTTCATGATTCGATGAAAACTTTCGATCATGCCGTTGCGCAGTGTATCGTTTAATACAAGCTCGGGGGACAAAAACTAATACATAAGTCCATTACATTTCAACTAATGAAAACCGCGATTATTAGTAAAGGATTTTTTACCAACAGACCTAACAATAACACACAACAACACAATGTTTAATACTACTATATCATTACTCATTGAATGACTTATCATCACTGTTAGATTTATCTGAATCAGATACTAGAGAATCATTATTGTCATGATCACATGTTACCTGATGTGATACTTTTGATATTGAAGGATATGTACCATGATTTTGTGCACGGTGACTGGCATATGGTACCACGAATATAAATCAAGATAAAGGGTCATGGTTTTGGAACAAAGATTTTCGAATGTTTTGCAATTAATATCGTAGCCGGTTCCGAATTCATAAAGAACCTGCGGGCCGTATTTCCATCATTAGAGTTCCCATATCCAGGTTTCGGTGTGTCTACTAACCATAAGTGCATTCTGATTTTTAAACTTTTGCCTTACTTCTTCCGAATGCTATTTTACACTAGCCTTTTCTATATCGCTTTTAGCTTGCCACACATTAAAAGGAACGAATCCAGGCGTGCAAAATAGACAAAACACAACTGTAATGCTCTTTTTTAGCCACTACCTCTTTTAATTCGCCATTCATCAGTTTGGGAGTAGCACCACAGATGTAACATTTTTGTGAAGAAAGTGTGCCAGTCAAAGCATTACATACTTTTCCGTCTGAAATTGTAAGTAAAAGATTATGTTTTACCGAACTTTGAGAATCGCGATTATCACAAAGTGTTGGAAGAAGTTGAGATACTTCTTCCAAAGTTGAGATACTTCTTCCAAAMCCTTGTTAGTTTCTGATGTAGTAAAATCAATTGTCCTTTGAAAAAATAAGCTTAATTGGGCGACAGTAGGGTGTGGACGAAGGCCGCGGATTTTGCCATAAAATACTTTATCACTCAATCTCAATGGAACAATAGCGAAAACAAACACGTACTCATCAGTAGCATCGCAGTTCTCAAATTTCTGCTTATAAGCGCTATGGCCGGAGCTTCCGTCACATCCCCATTTGCTTATTAGTGTGAATGACGCTTTAGAAGATATGTATATCATATTTTCTTTGAAAACTTCACTTTGCGCTTCAATTAACGCTTCAATTGACGTGCCTCACGGGTTTATTTTAGTCTAGTCTATGTATATGTTTATAATTCCCACGACTGTGTCTATTTTATTATTTTTTGGTATTTAGTACATTTATCTTAAACATTTCAATGTATGTATGTTTAACATAAAACCGTTTAACTTAAAAAGTTTTTTTTTACCTATTCTTATTTTATAGTTTTTAGATTTTATTTCGCATTCTGTTTAATTCATTTAGTGCTTCATTATTGCAAGGTTTCTTGCCCGTTAGTTTATTGCAGTCCAACTTCTCTACACGTAGTCCCTTCAAAGATCTTACTCTACTAAGACCCACGTGGGCTTGACCTTCTTCAAACAGTTTCGCACCTAAGTATATGACTGCGTGATCCACAGTGCTGCCCTGCATTTTATGTATTGTAGAAGCCCATGACAGTATTAAAGGCAACATTCTTCTTTCAGCCGTTCCGTAATTGTACTTAGCTGGAAACTGTATGGCTTTCGGGTGTATAACATGTACTCTGTCTCTTGCGAAATCAATTCGGACGGAAGGTACATCTGCTGCATACATCTGAGTTCGACGAAATTGAGGCCAAACGATTTCGTTGATGTAGCCTATAGCGCCATTTACTAATCCCTTTGAAACGTCGATATTGGGGGGGATAAAAATTAATTTGCGAGTTAGTTCACACCTGAGGCTTTCCCCTCTATCCCCATCGGGGGCTGATCATTAGCCATCTAAGATTTCAAAATTGTATTCTACTTCTTGAGACCTTTCATTTGATACCCATATTGATCGGATTGATAATCCGCCATTTTGTAACATGGCGGCCGCTTGGATTTAAATTTTTTATATAGTATATTGTATTCTGCTTGTTGAGCCCTTTTATTTGATACCCATATTGATGGGATTGATAAAACCTACGTTATTCGCCATTTTGTAGCGGCGGCCATCTTGAATTTATAATGATAATGAATAAACATAATTGTATTGTCACCGAAATCCAAAGTGAACACAAAATTTCAGATTAATCGGTTGACAGGAAGAGGGTGAAATTTGAATTACTAAATTTGACTCAAGAATAAATAATAAGTAAAACAAACGGGGTGAGCTAAATAAAACCATTTAAAAACGTTCAATCATCATGTTTGCTTCAGTCCATTTTTTGGAAAATTTTGACGAAACACTCCAAATTTTTAATTTTATATCTTTTTATGTATCAGGCGTTACACTTTAGCACTAAATTTTGTCAAAACATAGTCCACTAACTGAGAATTTCGCTCTATTTTACATTTTCGCCATTCTTCAAATAACTCCATTTTTAATATAGAGCAAACTCGATCTGGAAAAAAATAGTTAAAAAGTATGGGGGAAAGATGTGGTACTCGATCAAAGGTCATTGTATAGTTTAAAGTTGCCGTTATACAATATTCAAACATTAGCTTGGATATATGTGGATAAAAAAAGTTGCATACGTTAAAAACTTGAAAATAAAAAGAACACACGCATTTTTATATGAGTTTCCAAAACCCAGTACAACGTATTAGCTGAACGCAAACCAAGTATTAGATTGCATAAAATATACATATGTATATACCTTCTAAAATAAACTCCATTTCATCAACAGTCGCGTTTTTCTCTGCCAACCTTGTTAAATCACTATTTGCATTGTATATATTATTTAAATTGAAAATATAAAAATGAAAACACCGTATGACTTCGATTAAACTGGTTATAGTTAACCGTATTAGGAAATTTGCGCAAATCTTACTTAAAATTGTGACATATGAAGGGTTGTTAAAAACAGAGTACTGTCAATTATTTGATTGTTTACATTGACCTTTGTCCTCCTACTATGATCCAGGCGAATCAGTGTGTGTTGGCTTGCAAATGTCGTAGACTTGAACGAAGGTGTTTTTTTCCAAATATACGCTTTAATTCGTTGAGTAGTTTTGCTTCGAATTGCTTGCCTTGATCTGTGTTGATTTAAGCTGGCACACCGTAGAAAGTCATCCAACTGTTGGTTGAGGCCTTGGCGACGGTATCGGCGTGAATGTCTTCAATTGGAATATCGATTGGTAAACGAGTGTATCTATCGATGTAAGTAAGATAATAGCGATAACGATTTGAAACTTGCAATAGTTCGACCAAATCGATGTGAATCCATTCGAAGCGTCTACTTGTTGTCTCTTGTG